GGGGGCGCCGCCTGGCGGGGCAGATTTCGGGGATCAGCGCGGTGGGGGGGGGCTCGACCCTGAGGGGACAGGGGCTGTAATTGTGTGGCACTGTGGCTTTTTAACCCCTGCCTTAACCCCAGCAGTGCTCAGGGAAGAGCCTGAAATGGACTTGAGCAAAGGTGCCCCCAAAAAAGGGGGGCGACCCTTGGTGCCAGTGATTTGTGACCCCCAGCGCCTCTGACCGACCCCTTCCCTGAGGTGGCTGAGAATTCACGGGAAAGCCCAGAACAGTCTGTAGGGCTGGTCCTGTCCTATCAGGCTGAGAGGAAAAGCCGGGAAAAGCAGGACTGAGTTGGCAAAGCTGGTGAAATACATAATTTAGGAGTTTGGGGAGCGCTGGAGGCTCCCGGAGCGTCACACGAGCGGCCCCAGTCACGCGGCCCAGCTCCTGAGCTGCCCTTGGAACTGGCTGGAACCGGGCTGACCGGTTAATTCTCTAATGTGAGCCTGCAAAACAAGCCCCGTGATGAAATGCTGACATTTGTAATTCAAATGCTTGTTTACTCGCCTCCAGAACAGGAAGCTTTGATCGGTTATGGAGCAACTTCCTTCTGTGAGCTGATTTGGAGATGTGCCCCGGGTTAATTAAGCTTCATCATACCTTTCAGTCTGTCTCCTAATCATTTTATGTCATATTAAAGCTGGATACGCAAAATCCAAGAAGGTTTTAATGTGGTTTTTAGCAGCTTTACCTGCTGCTCCTTCAGTGAAGGCAGATGACCTTGTTCAATCCTCCCCTCACAAAGCATCAGCACTCGTGTGACTGGCAAGATTCAGCACAGAGCTGCTCTATTTCCCCCTAAAAAAACCCTCAAACCTAGACAAAAATACAAAACCACCAAAAAACCTCAACAACAACAAAACCCTTTTGCTTTCCTTTCTCCTAACGGGGTTTCTAGAACCTCCTGGTTTACAGTAAAAAGGAAATAAATCATCCTACCAGTAATTACTTGCACTGTAGAAACAGGAAGAGGGAAAAATGGTAACTGGAATGTTCAGAGACAGCTCCATGGCAATAGCCAACCTTGGAAATATTATTTGGCTACATAAATTTAGGGCAAAAGGCAGAGTTGGGCAATTTCCCATTTGTATGCTTTGTGCTGCCAGTTTTGCTCAGTTTTTCCACCAGGCTGGTTTTGTTTGGTGGTGCCAGTGGGACTGAATGTTTGCTCCAAGGCTGGCCTGGGCATGCTGTACATCCCAGGCTCTGCTCCAGGGACAGATTCTGCCATGGAGTCTGGAGAGGCCACGAGGAACTAATATTTACAAATGTGAAATGCCACGTCTGTAAAGCTGGAGAGGAACCACAGGCAGTGGTAAAGCCTGGGCAGTGTTTGAGCACATCAGACTTGTATTAAGGATTTCACTGTGCATGTCTCTCTTTTTAATGTCCTTGTAGGTAGAGAAGAAGAAATTTGTGTCAGCTTTTCCTTTCTGTATAAACCAAAAAGCAGAGGAGGCTTCCCTTGTGGTTTTTTTTCCAAAGAATGGCTAAATATTGTACTGCTGTGCTTGTACAAAGCACATGTATTTAACAAACATTCCACTCTTCCTCCAGTAGCTCTTGGTGAATAAAAATCGTCAAGCAGCTGACTCTGAACTGTATATAAATAAATGCAAAGCTGAAAAAAACCAGAAATCTGTATCTTGTGACTGGCCTGGCTGCACAGGTGGCTCCAGCCTTCGCCAGGGCACGGGGCCTGCAGTTGGGAACACATATTTCTTTCCAAGTGGTTTCAAAAGTAGGTCAATGGGCAGTAGTACAAAGCAACCTACTTTCAGGAGAAGAATCTGGGGTCGGGGAAATGTTTCCAACGAATCTGTACATTCTGGAACACAAGCTGGGGCTGCTTTTCATGTAGGCTAATGTCCTAGCAACAAGGGATCATTTTTCCATGAGCACTGTGGACTGAAGCAATCTGTTTATCTTTAGTTACAGGGTTTAGCTTGGGACAGCCAGTCAGGCCTTCTGAGGGTGTGTAGCAAGTCCAGTTACTGTTCTTTGTTCAGACAAAAATAGGGCTACGTGCCACAGGGAAAAAAACAACATATATAAACTATATATATATATTCTTATCTCATAACATTACTCACACCTACCTCAGATCTCTCTGACTGTGTATAACACTGGATAATTATATTTACTTATTTATGGTTGTGGAGATAAATATATTCTCCCCAAGCCTGTAACACTGCAATAAGACCCAGACTTTGCTGAAGTTCCACCCACGAGACAAACAGACTCGTGGCATGTTACTGCTTGTCCCTGTGCTGCCAAGTTCAAGGGTTACAAAAATAGTGAGTCATAATTCTGAGTACTGTGAGATTGACTGTAATATTATGAGATTACCAAAAAAAGACAACTCTCTGAGTTTTGTTTGTAAAGCCTTGTGCTAAAAAAACCTTCAATAAACAAAGTTTTTAATAAGCTTCCAACTTCAGGAACTGAAAGCTTAAGAAAAACAAATAGATTGGTAGTAAAAAGAGGAAAATGAGGGATACTCCTCTGTCTCCCTGTTTGTTTAAAGAATATTTTAACTTTGCAGGACACATGCTATTCAGCTGTAAGATCTGTGCTGCCCTGATAAACAGGCTTGGGCACGTCTCTCTCTGCAGGTCTGAATGACCCAGAGGAACATGTGCCAGTTCACTCTGCTCTGATGGAAGGAGACTTAGAGAAGGCATTTTATGAAGCCACCATTGGGCTAAAATCACAGGCTTGTGTCTGCATGTTGTGCCAGTGAAAGCAACAGCTAATAACTAGGTCTATTCTAAAAATTACTTGTCTGCATGTCTCCAGCCTGCCTCCTGCCCGTGAGTGTTTTGGATCCGATCCAAGCTGCAGTGCAGGGAGGGAGCTCTTTGTTCACGTCCTCTCTGCTGCCTTGGAGCCCTTTGAGCTTGTGGTTTCTGGAGTGAGGAATTTCAGCGGGATAGCAAAGAAGCACCTTGAAAAACAGACAGACAGACAGAAGTAAGTCCTAAAATGCTGTTAATCATTGTTGATATGTTCAATAGAACCCCTGTGACAGTGGACAAAACCAAACACTGCCAAGGCTGTTCTGACCAGGCTTTATCCATTGGCCCAGGAGTGATACCTCCTGCACTTTGTTTTCAGATCCAGCTTGGATCCCTTGATGGTGAGGAGAATGTCCAGAATGCTTCCCCTTCAACCAGAAGACTAAAATCCAAGCACTGACATTTTTCTCCTCTGAACAAACCACGTAGTTTTAACAACCTGTTCTTTTCAGTGTGGTGTCAGCTATACA